AATTACTAATTTATAGTAATCTTATTCCTGAATATTAACCAAATTCTTTCCATTTTTAATCTCATCATTCATCCTTGAAAGACACGTAAACAAATGTCCAGAAAACACTGTAAGTAGAAATTTTCTCAAGCTTGAGTAACTAGACAACCTTTATTTATCTAACGTCAAAGGGCATCCAATTACTTAAACATGTAAAAAGTACAACTAGAAAGTGGAAAATTATTTATTTAGTTTTACCAAACTTGCTGGTAAGTAGTGTTAACATTTAAAGTCCATATCTCTGCACTGTCAAAAGCTTTCATAATAGAGAGATCATGCTCAATAGGGAATATTGCCCACATTTCTCAGAAAGAAAAATTGGTCTGTGACTTTGAATGTGATGAGGGAGAAGAGATTCATCCTAACCTGAGTTCTAGCTTTGTACCTAGAACTAGTATTCGTTAGCAGTGGAAGAAAATTAACCTTTGGGGGCATATAGTTGTTCAATATATTCAAGAAAAGCTTAGCGAGTAATGTGAAACATCATATCCTACCTCTGGGTTTCTCAGGGGCTGGTTTCCCAAGACCTGTGAAAGGAACCTCTCCTCCACGTTGAATCTGTCTATACCATGCTTTCTGCTGTTGGGGATTTAAAGTGTGAGGTTTCCCTGTCTTCCTTAATAATGTGGAATCACTTTCATAACCATCAGGGAAGGCACTAAAAAATTAAAGTGATTGCATATAAGCCTAACTTTTGATGACTGTATAATCAAGTGATTATGAGTGTGAGTTATTCATATGAATAACAAGATATTTCTATGGAGGAAGGAATGAAAATATACAATTTCTGACAAGCCTTCAATACATTATACAGCTTCAGAATAAGAATCAAACATTGCAATTATAAACAAACACATCCCTATTTTTTTAACAGTGCAAGTGATGTATACATGCACATGTGCTAGTTGTGTAGTATAATGGAAAAGAAGTATAAGCTAATTCTTAAAACCATACAAGTGAAGTATAGCACAAGCTTAACAGAAGCATTAAGACAGTACAAGTAATGTATGAGTAAGATAATTCTTTAGAATATTATAAATGATACATACTTAACAGCACTTCAATTAAGGAAGTGTATCTAAACTTATCCTTGAGATTTTAAGTGCTGTATACCTAATCTTGCAGAATTTTACAAATAAAGCTAACCTAAACTAATCCTTCAGAGCATTACAAGGGAAGTATGTCTAAGGTTATCCTTTAGAACAATATAAGTGTTTTATACCTACTCTTGCAGAATAACCCAAATAAAGTTAACCTACACTAATCCTTCAACAAATAACAAGAGAAATATGCCTAAGCTAATCCTCAAAACAACAAAAGTAAGTCTGAGCTAATCCTGCAGAACAGCACAAGTGATATGTACTTAATCTTGCAAGCACAACTTATAAATAAACTAATCACAGGATTACAACGATGTATATCTAGACTAAGCCTTCACAACAACAAAGAGATGTATACCTAAACTAATCCCTTAGAACAGTACAATAGTATAACTATGTTCATTCTTCAAAATAATGCACCTGATCTACTAAAATATTTTTTTCAGAGAAGTGGAAGTGAAATACTACAACATTAATCTTTATGATCATGTAAGTACAGTATGAATGGGCTAATCATTGAAAATATGCATTAAAAGACTTTCTAATTAAAGCTTTTAAAAGAATACAAGCTAATCCTTGAAAAACATCACAAATTATTCATAAGTTAATGTTTAAAACAATGCAAATGAGTAATGAGCAGTATAATAATAATGCACAACAGTGCAAAAGATGCATTTTTAAAGTTAACTTTTCAAGCCACTACATGTAAAACTATAAAAGGTCCTTCACTAATTCAGAACACTCAAAATGTAGTTTTTCAATGTTTTCTAAATAACAGCCTTATAGCAACACAAAAAAATACAATTTTTTTAGTGAGTATATCAATTGAAAACTCCTAGATTTTACCCTTCTTTATGCCCCCCAGTGGCACAGCGGTATATCTGCGGACTTACAATGCTAGAAACTGAGTTTTGATACCCGTGGTTGGCAGAGCACAGATAGCCCATTGTGTAGCTTTGTGTTAATTCCAAACAAACAAACCCTTCTTTAATTAGAAGAATATATATTCATTTAAGTAAGTTCACATAAACTTTTCAGGCACGTAACTGCACATTTCCTTCAATTAGCTAAAGTTTTTTTTAAAACTGTAGATTAATCATAAACTTACATTAATCATCACAGTGAGCTAAGATTACATGTTACAGTAACCATTCTACAGAGCTCATGCTTACTTGACTATGCATCTGTGTTATCGTTCTCCTGGGGTAAGGATCATCTCCATGTGAACAGATGATGCAGAGGTTTGTAGAAGTTTAATATAGAATGATGTCCTTGGATATGTATAATGGGTATGATCAGTGATTAGACAATTTAAAATCATCAAATGCCACACTATAGCTTGGTCTGATTTAAGAGTGTGATACAAACACAATTCATCTGTGTTTTGTAGATTGCAAAAATCTTGAATGTTCTCTACTCCAGCAGCCAGTTAATTAGAAAAATAAACAGGCTGGATAATGTAAAGTAAGCCACAGTACATTTAATTTGTGTTAAAAAAAATTTGTTTCTTGTTTCACACAGGATTTTGAATCTTCCCTTTCTTATCTATTTCATGTATTCTTTGCAATACATTCTTATGAGCATGCTGTTTTGTAGAACTTAATAGTTACTGGCTCCAGTTTTACTTGGGAATATCTCACAAATAATATAAACTTGCAGTATTATAAAATTTTTTTGTATATCTAGCTTGATTAAAACCTATCTGAATTTTGTTTTTACTATTATAACAGTCATTTTAAAATGTACTATTTATTTTTCATATAGATACAATTCAATTATTACATCAAAATGTTTTTCTGGTTTATAATTTGTTTTATTTCAAATGCTTCTTTTCTTTTTTATTTTCCAAATATTTAAATGCTTTAAATTTTATATATATCACTGTCTGGATCTCTTTGTACCAAAAATAATTATTGTATACATAAGGTAAAAAATAAATAAATAAAAACCTACTCACAAGGATTGTTTTGGCCAATGTTCTTGGTGAAAAGAAGACCTTTGTTTATGCTTAAAAACAAAAAATTCACACAAGTTACAATGAATTTCACCACATCAAGTCAAAGAAACACTTCTGGTTTATTTTTGAAATCTTCTTTAAAGGATAGAAAATGTAGAGCAATAACTTTCAAATAAGACCAATGTATATGATAATAAAATTCTATGCTTAGTAATTTCTGTTGAGCAGCAACAAAAATTATGATTCACGTTTTCATATATATTGATTGCAAAGGAAAATAATACTCAACTACAGTAAAATTGAACTAACTTATTTTCCTGGGCTAAAAGTAAAGCAACATTCTTTACAAACAAACAATCAATGAGGTTTTGATAACCTGTATAGTTGTTTATCTTTTTTAGTGTAATGTTGCAGTCAGTGCCTTATACTCAAGTAAACTTACACTTGCAGCATGCTTAAAATTGCATAATAGTATAGATCTTAGTTGTTGTATCTACTACTTACAGCCTTAACACCATTCATCTTGCCTTTATATTAATAATACATTTCTAAAGGAAAATTCGTTTTTACAAAACACAGCATTTTAGTGAGTTAGTGAAGTTGTCTAACCATATGAATCTTTATAACACACACATATATATATAGATATAAATACACACACACACAATTTAAACTGAAAATTACTGGTTATGTGCATATTTATAGAATCAGAGTAAGATAAAATTTTATAAACAAATTATTAACAACAAAGAACAAAGGCTCTGCAACAACAAATATGTTTTATGTTACTGCAATCAATCCACACAACTGTGAAACATATATAAATATATAATATGTTAGCATAAAGAGCAATGTACATTGTAATATTAAAACAAATTTTCACTAGAATTCTTCATAATACATTCTTCCAGGTAAAAGCTCCTTTGTTTCTAAGAAACTGTAATACCAATTTCTATTTTGTAGTATTTAACATTTTGTAAATAACACCTCCAACAATCAAAAATACTTTCTTTTTTAGAAAGCTCCTTTTCACAATTTTGTTCACCTTTTTAACCTTGTCCTAGAAAATTTTTTGTTTCTCTTGTTCATTTTTGATAATTTTATCATGAAATTTTAAAAATTGATCTAAAATTACATATATCCATTTGGTACATGCCAGGCTAAATTTTTTTATTCCTTTGGAAATTCAATTATTTCATCTAGTGATTATTCTTTGTTTGAATAATTTATATACTAATTGTTATACAAACCCTGAAAAAATAATTCTATATATAACAAACATATGTACAGATAATTCAATGATTTTCACCACAGATTTTAAAAAGTTTCATTTAATCATAACTGTTTAAACATACGGGGTCTTGAACAAAGTTTTTTTTGGATAAAATATCTGAAGAAGTCAGTAATGAAATTTTACTAATCCTTGATAGTTTCTATCACAAAAAATGAAAGGTTAGTTTGAAGCATTATCACAAACAATACTAACCTCTTCATTGTAGACTTCATCTTCCTAATGTTGAGAGCAAATGAAGAAGCATTAAGAAATAAAAAAATAAGTCATACAAAATTACACAAATCTAAAAACTGCATGAACCATTTAATTACAAGGAGTTATAAGAAATAAGCAGAATTTTCTTTCATGTTACATTTTGGCTTACAATAAAACTTTGTTAAGAAATTAGTTACAAATACATTTCACAGTGCCAGAATTCATAAAACCAAATAGCCAAAGTTAGTACACAGACAAAAATAAAATCTAGTCTTACTATGCACACAAAAACGTGCCAAGTTTAGTACACATACAAGTAACTCAAGCAAATTTAATACACAGACAAAAACTCAATTTGACCTCAAACCTAGCACACACACACACAAACACAAATAGTTTGTTAAACTATGTGCAAGTACAAATTAAAGTAGGCTTTCATACTCACACAAGCTTGCCTAATCTAATGCTCATAAAAAAACTGTAAATTCTAGAAAACAAAAAAAACTAGAATTGCTATACATATAAATAAAATTTTAAACTTTTACTACACAGAAATAAGCTTGTTAAGCTTAGCAAACACACAACAAATAAAACTATCAAATATTGTATAAGCAAAGAAATGAGACAATTAAACATTTTAGCCTTTACACAGTTTGGATGCATTGACGTTGTACATCACAAATTAACAAAACACTGTCAAGTTTTACATCCATTTGAATTACAACTTTGTTTCATTCTTATCAGATGTATTTATTAAAATTCTCAGTCTCGATAAATATTCAAATTAAGAAAAACTTGGTTCAAAAGGATTTACTATTTCAGGGAAAAAGTTATCAGGTCTGGTATATGTACAAATAAACTAATTATCAGAACAGATAAATACACACATAACCTCAAGCATGAAAGCTGTGTGCATATAAAATGTATGAAATCTTACTCCTTTAGAACCAGATGATTGTGACTGATCAAATAATTTATACCTATTACATGTATCTTTTATTTAATGTAATCTAAAACTGTCAGATTAATAATCCCACAAATACAAAAAAAATGGTAAGTCTAGTACACAGACTCAGAAAATTAAAAACCTGCCATGAGAAGGACTTCAACTTAACACCATCATCTGACCAACAACACATCTTGGATTGTCTCGGAGCTAACAAAACATTCTTAGCTAGTAACCACATACCAATTATACACACACACACACACGCATATACCTACAACTCTAAATAAACCAATAACCCAAATAGCAACAAAGCTGTGGGACAAGACACTGAAAGATCTATTTCAACCAGCATTTGAGATCAGGTATCGATCGTTAATTCACACCAATGCTGTGTGACTGAAGCTTTCCTAACTCAACTAATGTGGCCCTAGTCCCAGACAGAAAGCTTATCATCTTTACTTTCAAGCAAGCAAACATATAACTTACTTTATTTATTCTACCTAAACAATTTATGTGGCCAACCTTTCTGTATTAAAAAAACGTGTTATTCACCTTATCAACAAGAAAGATCTACATTTTACTCAATATGCTGTAACTACTAAGCATACCACTTACTAAATTTGTATATGATATACAAAACATTTTAGGGCAGAAAATATTTGTAACAGTAAATTTACACAACAGCTGATTTAAATTCAACCTAAAAATTATACATTTCAAGTCTCTCACTGGTTAATGATGTACATAAAAATAGTAAGATCATAATTCAGTCCTTCAACATATGTTATAGTAACTAAGAGTAACTGACTCTATCACTGACTTTATTATAACTGCATTTTAATTGGATACTATTACACAGTGTATTCATTTGATATCTTAGTTTGATCTAAAATGTTTGTACCTGCATAACAAGTTATTAATAAATCGTGTTCCCTGTTAATTATGGTAAATATAGTCCTTATCCAATTGACAGCATCTTCTATGCATACTTTTATCAATCCTTATGTGTATCTGGTTCAAAAAAGTATAACATAGCAGGTCGTTAACTTTTTCACTGCTCAGGTGGAACTCATAGTATAGCATGTAAAACTAAAGAAGAATTACCAAAAAGTCATATAATGATCTTTATGTAGGCCTGACATAAGGGAGTGGGAAGGGTCAGTCGAGTCCGAGCAACCCTATTGACTGCAAAATAAGACAGGAGGGTGAGCAGGACTTGTTTGTTTTTCCAGATGTGGTATCACACTCCTCTCTTATCTGACTCACTAGCACAGCATTGGTTGTGAATAACATGACTATATTGTACAAATATTACACTTAGCACACTAATATAAATCACTAAAACAAATATATAAGTGCCTAATATTTACAATATATAAATTTTTCACTGCAATGTATAGGCATCAGGGGGTGAAATCTATGGGTCACTGTTACAACCAAGTATCAGCTTTCATTTCAAATGGTGGTGGGAAAACCTAACACTACATATTATGCATGAAGCAATTCACCTGGGATACATCATATGATGCATGGAGCAGTAAAAGGGTTAGTGGCATATATAGCACTCATGAAATCTGTAGTATGTGGAACATGCATTACCTATCCAACTTATGAACATTAAGAATATGGTACAAACACAATTATTCCAATCTTTTGTACTTGATGGAAATACCATTTATCTAATCTAATGTATTTGGCTTATAACAAGGAATAAACCCTTAAACAAAAACATAAAAAAGGAAAAGATGCAGCATATGCTACATACTAACTAGCACCAACTAGAATGTTATTCAAAATCAAGTATATAAACAGGCAAGTTATTCTCATTCCACTACATGCTAACATACTGAAATCCTACCAGTCGATCAATTTCTCTCCAGAAATCTGCCCAAAACTGAAAACAGAAGTTATTACTGATGTTACTCAAAGTACATTATGCATTTTATCCAGTGATTTAACACAAGTCCATATAAAATTATGATAAATTAAACTAAAAAAAGTGTAAACATAGAAGTATCATCATATTTATTCTGTGCCTGATTTTTTATCATGAGCTTTTCTGTTGACTGCATATATTACAAACCAAATCAAGCTGTACCAGTAGTTCTCAAACTCTGTCATGGTAAACCTATTTAAGCTACGAAAATAAAAACAATTACAAGTCCCTCCGGTTTAGGATGTGAGAGAGACTAAGTGGGAAGAAAACCATGCAGTGTAAGTCTGATGTATTATGGTTATTAAGAGATGCCTCATGACAAGGTAATCAAATTATTTGTAATATTTCTCAATACTTTTCTTATTTGAGTTATTTTTCTAACAACATTTTTTTCTTTAAAATCATTAAACCTTTCTTTAAAAAATAAACATGCAACTGACATCTCCTCTGACAGAGTCCTGTGCCTTCCTGTGTGGAATGCACCCCTTAGTTTGAGAACCACTGAGCTATATATATTAGTTTTGCTTTTTCTAATACAAATTGTCAATAAATAACCACTTGAATAAATGATAGCTTAAATCTAAAGCTCATGACTAGCAAGTCCAATATTATAGTTGGCTTTATGATTTAGAAAAATACCAATTTCTTCTAACTTAAATTTACTGTCAATAAAAAAACTAAATTTGGATTAAGTGTTATTTAGACTTTTGGAGTCAATTCTTACACATCTATGTGTATCCCATATTAAGCAAGTAACACATAATCATTTCATACAGCCACTTCAGACTATTACACAGACCTAAAAAAAAACAAAAGCATTGTAATTCAAGTGACTATATTGCTACCAAAAAAGAGGATTATTCTATTACTCTATATTAAAAAACAAAACAACAACAACAAAAGTATTTATATATATATATCATTAACAGGAAATTACAGTCCTACAAAATACTGAAAACATTTGACCTGACTGTGTATAAAACAGAGTATTCACTTCACTGAAACATAATCCAGAGGTAAAATTCTGCCAGTACTCGCTGGTACCGAGTACCAAAACTTATTTTTTAAGGTAGTACTAGTACTGGGACTTATTTGAGCTGCTTTTTTATGTTTACATGTAGAATTTTTTTTCGTTTTTAAAAACAGGTTCACTTCACCCAGCTGAGTATCTCTACTTTTTTTTGAGAATTTTACCCCTGACATAATCTATCCATAATGATGCTAGAAATCCAAAAGTACATCATTATATTTAAAGAACATTCCATAACATAAAGACTCTTTCTATTGATTTTCAGATTAGTCCCATCACTACAAACAAAATAAATATGGACCTAAAACTTGCAAAAAGACTTAAGTTAATGTACATAAGTTTCCCTCACATCAGAAGTGACTCAACCAACTGGAGAATGCTTTATAAAAATGGGTTAACAATATTTATCATTAGATTATTGATGTGTGTGTGTGTTTTGTAGGTTTCACACCTTCACAGCAGCACTGTAGTTATAAGTGTTTGTGTTTTTTTGTTTGAGAGCAAAACTACATTGGGCTATCTGCTGTGTCTACTGAGAGGAATCAAACCTGTGAATGTAGCATTGCAAATCCAAAGACTCAGCACTGTTCCACCGGGGAACAGGTTATGTTTATCTAAATGTCAGTGATGAGAGCTTTGAGCAATAGCTTATCTTCTTTGTTGTGAATTAAATGTAATTACAAACACTCTCCTCCACTGAAGATTTTTTTTTTAACGATTCATGACTATCACACAATAAGTATCAACAGTACATTCTCCAGTTAAAATTTATTTCAAATAACAAGAACTTCCACTGTTGCAAGGAAAACTGCTGATGCAATTTTTTTTGGGGGGGGGGAGCAAATTTTAATTAATAGTAATATTTGGAATTAAAAATAAAACCCATAGTCACGCAACAAAAACAGATGCATATATCTGTGCAAATACTGGAAGATCAGTTTACAATAAATTATATTAAATTTCCTAACACATGCATACATGTATCAATCCAATGGCTGACAAACAACTACATATACATGAATGAGCTTGGTTAGCTTAAGAATAACTCAAAATTTCAAAATGAAATATAAGAAATGCTGCACAAATTATGGGCTTATGAAACATTACAAAAATGCTAAAAGACAAAGCACATTAAATGCTAAAATAAAATACATACTGACTGAAAACAACAGCTTAAAATTAGATACAAATGTACAAAAACTTCTTGCAGCTTTTAATATAGCTGAATTAAAGATATTTGTTACCACTGCCCATAAAAACTTGACTTAGAGAAACACAAAGTATTTCATATTTATTAGTTTCTGTGAAATTAGTGAAAAAACTGAAAAGCCTTATTCTATAATTAAAAAATAAAACAACACACTTTTCTTAATATAGTAATAAACTAGAAAATTGAGATGGTTATATGGTTTGAGACATAAGTTACCATTTCAAAATAAAAAACATTTAACCAAATTGTGAATTTCTAATTGTGGACCACCACTATAAATTTTAAATGAAATATTTAGAATTAACATTCAATAGAGCAATACAAACCCTTGTGAGTTTATAATAATTTTCAATGTAATAAAATGTCTGAAAAAAATATTGTCTTTATATCTAAAATCATTCTACACATACAGGTTTGACAGTGAACATGGTTCTGGTATACAGTCATGCAAAAAAAAAAAGAAAAAATACATGTTCCTAAAGATGCACCCAAACTTGGGTTAATACCTATAAAAGAACCTCTAACTATTAAGTCACACATTCATGTTGCTGTTAAATCATAATGATCCACATTTTAATAATTTATAATAAAAATAATGAAATTTATTTTCAAGTAAATAGTCATCCAACAAAACTTTCCTTCCAACGATGAAGAAACAATTTTTTAAGCAATATGATAATAAATACTTGGCCCTCGTTGATCACTTACCAATATTGCCTCTCTCTGTGCAATGGAAGAACGTCCAGGTTCATAATCTGCTATACTGTGTGGCTGATTTTTGTACACTTCTTGGCATGATCTTGACACAGGTGAAGTACGAGGTGATTCAAAACTGAGTGAAAATCAAAGTTGTTGGTTTACTGTTCTTTATTATTTTAATAATACAAGCTCAAAAGATCTTCAGTGACAATAAAGAACTAAAACAAATTTCATCACACTTAAAACTTCATCATGATAAAAATTAAAAGAATTAGCTATTTCAAACACCAATAAATATATACATATACTTATGTACATTACAAGGTATGAAGATATTGATAACTCAAACTGCTAAATTTCATGTACAATATAAGTGTACATATCTTTCTTAAAACATGAAGAAATGATTCATTACCTGAAAAAGTGAGAATTATGAAAACAGAAATATCATAAAATGATTGTAATACTGACTGAATAAAATTCAAATCATTATTGGTATAATAAAGTGCTTTTATTAACAATACAAACAAGAAAAAAGAATATATACATTTAATTAAGAATTAACAATCATTAAAAGAAAAGAGAATTTGCACAAATGGTTATTAATTATTTATTTCCGAATCAAAGCATGCTACAAAGTGCTAGTAAAATAATCAAATTCTTCAAAAATAAAAATGGGAATGATAATAATCATTTCATTACATGAAAGTTTCCCACATGCACTAAGCTTTACTAAGAACTCAGTAAGATACATTTTAAAATGTTGTTTGGGATGGAATGAGTTTTGTATACACAAATTCCCTTTTACAAAAAAATATTTAATGGATAAAATATCCCACGATAGCAAAACATACAGCTATAACAATAAGCTTAATGTGTGATTAAGTCTGATTGTTCTTTTTTTTATATTTGCAAAAAATTACACAAAGGTTATTTGTGCTAGATGTCGCTAATTTTGAACTGATAGACTAGATGAACATTAGCTAATCAATGACAACCACTTTCAACTTTTGGTACTCTAATAAGATAGTGGGATTTGACCATCACTCTTAAAATGCACCTACAGCACAATGTCATGAGTCTGAATTTGCAACAAAGAGACGCTAACTACAAACCCTCAGATTCACAGTTTGGCATACTAACCACAAGGCCAGATTTTGTATGCTAAACTTTGATAAAAAACATTTTCTGAGGTTCACTCAGCTAGTAAATCAGGTAATTTAATCGATTAATTTTTGAGGCAAAATCTGAATCTTCTAGTTGATGAAAAGTTCACACTAGAAATAACATTTCAGAAAAATCTAATGTTTAGCTTATATTTAGATAATATATCACATGCACAAAAAGAGATAATCACATCAAAGTTAAAGAGAACAGCAGTGTAAATGCCTACAAATTTCCTTCTATGATTGATTTTATTGTTGATATTTATAAGCTTCAGTTTTTTATTTCATTAGCTTACACGCACTCAAGACTTCCTATAGTAATTACTTCATTAAAAAAGAATTCAAATGTCATAACTATTTTGCTTTACAATATTTCTATTTTTATTATATATAGATATATAATATTTTAATACATTATCATTAGATATTACAGGCTTAAATATTAATATATAAAATCTAGTGGTGATTGTTTTCAATACTATAATGAAATCAAATAGTAGGATAAAAAGAATTTCATTATATTAATTCATGTTCCTAATCATTCAAAATTCATAAGCTATGTCTTGTTTCTTCTGTTATTCAAAGAAAAGGTAGTCTAACATCGGATACTATTGTTTTATAGAATATTTTAAACTTACTATTGCTTCTCACGTGTAATTCCTTCCGTTTTTGGTCCTCGACTTCTCTCTGGTTTAGAGCGATGTGTGTAGGTTGCATATTTTGTGCCATATGTAAATGAATCTACAAAAAAGGAATAAGAGGTTACATTTATCATACACAAAAAATACATTTGCTTTAAACTACTAGGTTATGGTTATTATTGTAATTGCAAAACAATTGTAAAAGTCAATAGCCAAGAACCCTATTTCTTTATGTTACTTTTACTGACAAGCCCATCTTGGATTATATATTTTCTCCAGATGCAACTTGCATCTCCCTAATTATAGTCACACTAAGACTCATACAAAATTACCATTTAAAAAAAAACTAAATTTAAGACACCTTCTACATTAGATTAAAACACATTTTCCAATGTAAGAAACTCTGTCTCTCTCTAAAGATATTTTTCCAACCAAGTCAGACTTAAACATGTAGCCTTCAATATGAATAAAACTATCTCTAGAAATATACTGACTCTCTGACTATACAGTCAGATTCAGGCTGTGCACACCACAATAACCTCTCTCTAGATACTCTCCTTCTAAATGTATAGTTAAACTAAAATGTGTGCTCAATCATGAAGAACTCTCTATATGATACACTCATTCTCTAAGTGTTTATTCAGATGCAGACAAGTATCCTACAGCGTTGAGGAACTCACTATCGAAATTAGATTCAAACCTTTTAAAATTAAACTCAGATTGAGACAAGTGACTCCTAGCAGGAGCAAATCTCTCTAATTCAGATACTCACCTTCTAAATCATAATCAGGTTCAGACACATAACCTCCTGCACGAGGAACTCTCCCTACAGTAGAAAAAATATATACAACATCATTCATAAAAATATTTCTCAAACCAGAAATACAAATTACTATACAAACTGAAAGTAATTCTTATTTGTCTTATAAGTATTCTGAGTCTGTGTTTGTTCTCAAATCTATCAGGAACTCACTCCATTGTGTGCTATACTCAATAGGTTTTTGTATTTGATAAATTAATGTATAAAATTATGACTTTCATGATGAGACTAATATAATTCATCAACACAAAGAAATGTTCAAGTAAAAATCATGTGGAAGTCGTATGGCAGTATTATCACTAAAAATGATTATAAATGTTCAAATAACAACTTAGTAGCTTGAGAAATTTAGAAGAGTTATCTATTTTCGATCAGGAATATAAGGAAAAGCAATTCTTCAAAGCATTAAAGCTTTGGGTCATATTTTGAATGTCATGAAGAATAAGGTACAATCATACTTATTACTAATAGACAGGATACTGGAATAAGTACTATATGAAAAAGTAATTTAAATGTTACAAATGAGTGGACAGTCTTTGGTGTGTTTTCAGAAAAACATTCTAGGATTACAAAAGTGAAAATTGTTCTGAAATAAGTATATATATTTTTAAGATGACAGGGGTAGCTTCAAATGTGTATATCCTTTTAAAGATTACAGAAACAATAGTGTTTTCTGATAAGAATTTTTTTCAAATAATGAAATGAACAAGAGCACTTTGATGCAATAATATCATTCTTAAGATTACAAAAGAAAAATACTCTGGTGTATACTTAATATTAGAGAAAATATTTATAATACTATGGTTTCATATTTGAAAGAAGTGATTTATTGATTTCAAATGTTTATTCATTTTTTTGTTCTTTTCAAGTACCAGACCACACTGTAAAGTATTTGAAGTAGAAGTAATGATAATTCAGTTAAACACTAGCTTAAGAAATATAACAGTATTGAAAGAAAATAAACATGAAGTTATGGGCATAAATTTGACTAACCAAAATTTAAAAAAATACATTTTGTAAAATGAAAAAACAAAAAGCTGAGTGTTCCAGGTTTTCATTCCCAAATTAACATACCAATTTCACCCTGATATGTAGAATATTTTATGATAACAACTACTAGAGTACTTTTAAATGAGGAAATCTTTTTAAACAACAAATACTTTCTTTTTTTTTAGAATGTATAAATTGCAAAATATCATTAACAAAAGCACTTTAGGAGAAACCATACGTTTATATTTTTGATGATTAGAGTAACAACAGTAACCCTAAGTGACTAAACCTTCTTTAAGATTACCAAAACTATTGTGTTTTTGGGTAAGGATAACTTTCTCGGATTGCAGAGCCAAGCATGTTTTTTTTAAGATGACAGATATAATGGTATTCTCATTTATGTAAATTTTCTTAAAAATTAAGAAACAACAGTACTCTGAGGTAAGTGAGTGCATTTTAAGATGGGTACTCTTAGACGTGCATATGCTTTTTAAACTGACACAAACAGAAAACAAAAACAAGATTGTTCTCAGGTGAGAATATTTCACGATGATCACAGAGACAACAGTACTCTGAAATGACAGTATCATTTTTAAGATGGTCAAAACAAAATACCATGCATTAGTATATCCTTTTTAATGTGACAGAGATATGATATGAGTATCTTTGGTCAGTAAATGTTTTCCAATTTGGCAGAGATAATAATATTTTCACTTGAATATAATTTTTTTAAATAAAAGTGGCACAAAAATTAACTAGTTTAGCTACAAAAAATATTTTAAGATGACAGTAATAAGAGCTTACTTGGATGAGTACATATTTACAGGGTAGTGCATAATAATATACCCTTTTCAATATGACAAAGACAAAATTAGTTAAATGACTAAACCTACTGAACTGTTAGGAAAATTGTATGACAATCATGTGAAAATTTTGATGTGGTTAAAATGATGTTCTCAAAAGAAATAATTATATTTAATTTGACTATGATACAAGCATTCTATTTTATGATGACAAACAGGAAGGTGACTAATATATCATTTATTTATCTACATAAATCATAATTTCTATTCATAGGAAATTTTATGTAAAATATTTTTAGTGAATGTTTAACAATTAATTACATAGTTTTTATAAAATTTTTTTGATTTTCAAAAAGGAAAAACAAAAATACAGCATAAGTTTATAAATTTGGAACTAACAACATTAAAATACAGAGTAAATTAATCATCATTTTTTTAAACTTGACATAGAAGCTGAAAAAGAAAAAAAGCATTCACACACAGAAAGGAGACAATCTCTTTTCATTCATGCACATTTTGTTGATTAATTAAGTAGAATGTATATTTTTGTAGATAAGAAAGCGATTAAAAGTCAAAACAATGCTTCTAATTATAAATATACAATCAAAAAAACTTTCATACAAGTCTGATAGAACAACAGAACTTAATCTAGCTCCAATATTATGCCATTAATAATTATATTCACAAGATTAACTCTGATGTTAACAATGAAAAGAGAGCCACTTTCTAGGTTATCAGTAGCCCCTCTAAATCTGACCTTCTTCTCCCTTTCAGTTCACATTGTTTGTATTGGCTTTTTTTTTGTTCGTCCTTGTTTATGATTACAATTTAGTGTCAATTGAGTAAATCTACATCAAAAAGTTTGGGGTGAATGTTGTAAATGAATAAAAATATGAAATTATACATAATAATCTTTGTTATATGAGAATTTTATGAACATTGTCTTGTAGATTTTTTTTTCAGATTTGGTGCTTACATTTTTTTATCACTGTATTCATCCCTATCTTTTTTCTGTACTTTTGTGCAATGCAATTCATACATCATCCTTATTCTTCCCCAATTTTTTATTATTATTTGTTTCTCTTCTTTTTTTTTAAAACAATCAGTTTTAATGAATGACAGTTGCTAAGAGGGCAGCAGTTTTAGCCTGGCATTGTGAGTTGTCTTAATGGACATCATGTGTTGAAGTTAGTGAAATGCTATATTGTTTCTGCACTCCCCAAGTTAAAATAAAACATTTTGTGTAAATCATCTCAACAACTTCAAGCACTAGTGAGCTACCCCTTCTGATGCCAGAATCAGAATAATTAGCAGAACATTTAGTTGTTATGCTACTTGCTGATTCTCTACTTTATAGATGTTTTTTGGCTAAATTGAAGGTCTTAATAGTTTTTGAAAAACCTAAGTTAGGTGTTTATAAAAGTCTCTTAGATTGTTATGAGAGAGAGATTTAAGACTGTGATGAGCAATACATAATATGTGGTGGCCATTTTGTTTCCTGGCCCATCCTTATATCCTAAGCACTATTGTGCTTAATGATAATGCAAAACAGCACATGTCATATTTATGGCAAATTAGAGTTTTGGAAAAGAGAGATTAGTCCTCATATTAGCCTACTGCAATTTTTAAAAGTTATATGTCATGAGGTGCAAAAAAAAAGCAAAATTATCTACATACTTGAAAACTAACAATTGAAAAATTACTGAAAGAATCACACCTGAAAACAATTTGCATGTAAATTCTTATTACATGCAACTATAATTAAAAATATATATCATAAACATCACCCATAACAACATATAAATTCACACAAACACACATTACTGATACATGCAGATAACCATTTGAAAACAACCTTTTCCTCTGCTGTATTTCACAGTTGTATAATCACCTGAAAGGTAAAAAGGAAATATTTCCTAAAATGATTTTTGAAAGAAAATATAACACAACTGTACATTTCTTGTTACCAATTAAATTTTGATACATCACAATTTTAGTATATTGCAGTTAGGTTCACATTACACATAGTTACTAACACATATGGTAGCAATTATTTTAAGAATCTTTAGATATATAAAATGTATATATCTAATTGCAGTAATGACTTTAACATTCATAAATATATTCAACTAGTTTGGTTACTTAATGTGATGAAACATCTAATTACTGGTGCATTTGTACAAATACTATTTCACGCAAATAATACAGAACTGATAAAAATTCACTATGATTAATTTTATTCTGTCAGTTTGTTATGGATGATGCTTTAAAATATGAAACATTAAATGCTTGATATTGGTTATTTAAAACCTAAATAACAAACATTCACAAACATCTAATATCTAAAACATTTGGATCACAACAGTTACAAAACCTGCTTAATGAAAAATCCCATTTCTTAATTATGAATACACGTAAATACATGTTTTTATTATTCAGAAATTAGAAGAAACTAAAAATTCAGATTTTCTGAACTTCCTTTAGAACTGTTAAGATAGAGAACATGGAGTTTGTAAAACAAAAAATAACAAGCTTACAGCCTTTACAAGAACAACATCAAAATAAAAGAGCTTTTAATTAGTTTACAAAATAAGTAGCTTGTCCTTACCTAGACCCAGATCTTACTTCTAGTCATAAGTATTATATTGATATGATTTACAATATTGAATGATTCACAGTTTATATCAATTGGTGACAAATCTTTCTATTGAGAGTATTGGGAAAAATCTAGCAAATTCAAAATTTGGATTTTCATAAGCCAAGCATATATTTTACTGTATCATCTTTTTAAGTCCCTCAGTAAACCAGGTAACATCTTACGCATTTTAACAATTTCCTGATAAACCAGGTATTAATTTTACTCTAATCATCTTGTTAAGTCCCTTAAGTAAACTACTAACATCTTACATATTTTAACAATCACCTCATAAACCAGGTATTCATTCTACTGTATTTGTTTAAATCCCCCAATAAATCAGATGTATGTTGTACTTTATCTTGGTAAATCTTCCATTAAAATATGGATGTTACTCTTATCTTTGTATGTGTACTTTAAAGTTTTTCTATTCATTTATGATCATTATGTCTGTTAAATGCCTGTATAAATTAAATAAATATGTTTTAGCTAGTTTCTTTCTATGAAATTTGGTAAAAAATAAACATGACAAAGCTTTATATAGCATTCAATAGTTAAAAGTTAATAAATAAAAGTTGTTAAAAATAAAATTAAGATTATCAATACTTTCTTGTTTTGTATAGATGCAGGTAAAGTCATATAATTTGTTTGTTTTTTTTGTACAAATACACTAATCAACAAAACTAAGAATAGGCCAACTTATGTAATTACACACTGAAAAAAGCAGTTTAAGGACACGAAAGTACAGATATAGTCAGATTTCTGTATATCTAAGGCCAGATTCATATTAGCAAAACTCTCACTAATACTTAACTGCAATACATTCTCATTATACATGAGTTGCTACATGTATCTCTGATTGCAATACACTTTCTGATAAAATATAATGAACTATGCATGAAGTATCTCCAGGTCTTTTTGGTGTTTATGTTTTACACTAGTGGTGGGTCCCATTTATTCTTTTGCATGACAAGGACAAGTAAAATAGTGATGTGGGTGAGAAAACATTAAAAACTGTGAAAATAGATGTGGGGGTGTAGTAATCACCTAGGTACCGGCCAATGGGGTCCAGGAGGACTAACGCTCCCCTCCAAAAACTAAAATTTAGCATATCAAAACAAGAAAAATTGCCTTCTTCTTGTACTTTTCAAAATAAATTAAATACATTTTGTATTAAACACACTTAATCTAGACCAAAAATAATGTTTTTATAAAACAAACCAAAAAAACACTTCTACATAGTTTGCCCGGTGTGCATGTGCAGAATATTGTCCAGAGTAGGAAAAAGCTACAAGTTTCTTTAGGATAGCATATTACAAAAAATAAAATACTTCTTTTTCAAATATTCATGGACTTAATTATAAGACAAATAAGAAAACAATTCCTATTTCAAAATGTTTTTCATTACTGTTATGTAACAATTACATTTTATAAGCCTGATGAAATACAACTTCCACTAAATAATATTTAAGGCTTTCAAAATAAGCATACAATCCAAAACAAATATTGGTTCTTAATAAACTTTCACTTCAAAATTCTATTGGAGATTACAAATTAAAGCATCTAAAAAAAAGCAATATTAATTTACGTTCATCTCTTTTTTTTCTTTTTTTCATGCATTTTATGTTAACATGTTTACTATTTCAAACACTGCCAACTTCTTCATGTGTTCTTATAACTGATAAAAGTATCATTAATATAACATTCACAGTAAAGTGATTTGAATGTTTCTTGGCATTCATGCACCCTTTGCTGTTCATGATTACATAAAAACAAAATAACAACAGAACAATAGCAAATATAAATCGAAGTCCCATACTAATTCCCATCAGTTTTTATCAAAAATATTACTGTCAAAATCTAAAATGCCCATGACAGCAAAAAAGGTGATCAAACAAGTGTTTATGGCTAACAGTTGCAAAAGTCTTGTTGATCATACCCCCTACCTAATATGATTTATGAATTGTTTCAGAAAGTACTAAATCAGTCATATTAAGCAATTTCAGTTTCAACAAACAAATCTGTTTTATCACAACTTTTACACATCCTTCATTTTCTTGGTTCCATAGTCATAATATGCAATTACTATACCAGTTTTACTTATGAAGCAACTGATCATGAAAGTACAAATAAAGTATGTATGTATAAAAATTCTGATCCTTTAATGAGAATATAGTAACTATTTTCATTGTTAAGCTTATTATCATCTAAACAAAAAATATTTCTTCTATATAAAGAATTATACAGGTATCATGCAAGAAGTAATTTCAAATTGCTTTTAATAATTTTGTACTGATATAAGAATAAAACAACTTGGTAAAAATCACAACTTTTCCTATATTTTCTGTAAATTTCTTTCAATGTTTTATAGTATTTTGTAAATATCTATTAACCATTTTTATTATAAAAAACAATTTCAGTTTACTATTTATTGTGAATAATGTCTCCATTTTGCAATAAGAAGAAAACATCTGTAACCAAAAAAGAGAGAAAAGAAAGGAAAAACAATTTTGAAACACACCTTCTAACTCTTCCAATCTGTGCAGAGATCTGTACATAGCTCTGTACCAGTCATTAATATACTGATCTTGAACCCTCTGTAAAAGAACAATATCCAGTTAATGCCAATACAAAGAACAAAACACAGACAGAAAATACTTGAAACAATAAAAGTTAAAAGAAAACAAAAATAATAATTTTCATTTCCTTTCAAATTTTAAAACATCAAATTAGAAAACAAGTGGCTGGCTCAAAACCAAAACCAAAAAATACAACATCAAGAAAGAGGTGGGTGAAGCTAGCAGGAAATAACTAGACATTGAATGGGGCTGGGTAAGACCTGGTGGTTTGTAGGTCAAAGGGTTCAAGATTTGAGATGCAATATGTTGCTGAGCTCTGCATATTCAGTTGTGTGGGCCTCATAACTGTGACAATGAATTCTACTTTTCAATTTAAAGTAGTCACAGGTGACAGATACTACTGACTAGCTGCCCTCTTTTTAATCAGTAGTACTGAATCAGAATGACCGTGCCTGAACCTTGGGACCTGTAACGTAGTCAGTTACCCTATGTGTTTCATAAGGTCATTTAGGTTGAAAATACTGAATACCAAGCAATTTCGCTTTTACTGCCAACCTGACAATGTCTTAAGCTCTAAGCCTTATTGTTAGCACCATTCAATTTATTTCTTCATGAATGTATTACATGTTAATGAATGTGGAGCACATGCATCAAGCATTGTTACTAATCTCATTCACTTTAAAAATATATTTAGATAACAGTAAGTGATTAAAGAATACATTCATTTTCTTCAAAATATTTATATTTTTGTAATATTTTATATTTGGCAGATTAATTCAGAAAGTAGATTGTGTATGTAATATCTCCTACTGTCCAAAACATGTGTAATTTACAAATGAATTTAATGTGAGTATATCAAGGTACAATTTTATGGTCACCATACAGATACCAATGACAATCACAAATGTCACTTAATAACATATACTTATAGCAGTGCACTACATAACCTATCCCTAAATTGAAACACTAATCAATCAATACACAACAACAGATAAAGTGTTTTTTTTATTGCTAGAGATGTGTAGACACATAAGTGTAGAATTTAGTTTATGAAAAATGTCAACTCCAAAAATAATGCTACTCACAGAAATTTCAAACTCACCCTACTTTTATGTTTCTTTTCCTTGTCAGACATACAGCATAATTAAAAAACATTTTTAATACTTCATAAGCTCATGATGTAAATTTTACACTTGAACTATTAAAATTCCTCTTTGCTAATTAACATTGCTATACAATACTTCCTATTATGTATTTTTATCATAAAAAGCATTTTTTCATCTCTTAATATTAATACATGCATATATATATATATATATATTGTTTTATGTTGTATACATGAAATTATTTCAGACTAAAACACATCAGAAGTACAATTTTTAGGTTTACACAAACATTTTTATAGTCATACATGTAAAGAGACATGAAAATGATTGTGAAAGCAAATAGTCATGCTCCTTACAAGGATGATTTTTAGGTTTGATCTAAATAAGTAGCTTGCTCGAATCAGAAGTTAAAATTAATACAAGGAATAATTTCATAGGTATCATTAGTTATCACAGATCGTTACTTACATGTACCCATACATACTACTTAAATTTAAATCACAAAATACAAATTTTTGAATTTAAGCAAACATTCAGTAATGTTTGAGCAAGCTATCTCCTAAGATGCTACTGGAAACACATATACCAGTTAACAGGCAGATGCAAACGTTATGCTGTAGCATTCATTGAGACTTAGTTATACAAGTAGGCCTGCAATTCAAACTCTTCAACTTCAAAACCATAATATTCATTTTAATTAATACATATGATTTATTTCATACTATTCTGAAATGTTCTCCAAACTTTTTACATACTATTTATTAATCCAAGCAACTAAGCAAATATAGAAGAAATATAAAGTTGTGAAATTTCAAATTGCAAGTAGTTACACATTATTAGGATTTTCTATTTGTTTGTTTGATTTTAACTCAAAGCTACACAGTGAGCTAGCTTCTGTCTGCAACAAGGACTTAAACTCCATACTTTGATGTTATAAATCCAAAAACTTACAAGCTGGCCCACTGGAGTTTCTGTAATTCTTTTAATTTAAAACAAAAAGATAGAATCAAACCTGAATGAAAAAATCACTACAGTTAAACCAAAAACTAACAATACATTTATATTAAAGCATATAATTTAATTATATTCAAGCGTTTCAAGAATAAATACAGATATAGATATATTTCCAGCTGCAAGTTACATAGACAATAAACTACACATAGGACACTGTTCTTATACACAGAATAAAGCTTAACATACGGTTGGAAATTATTTTTCTTACTACAGTATTGATGTTCCAGAAATTAAGTTGTTGAAAGATATCTGCTTGATGTAATAAAATATATATGTGGTTTATTTTTTTAAGGAAGTTTTAGTTATTACAGTTAATTAATATGATGAAATTTTTGTGTCTTTAAGTATATTAAGTTGAAATTTAGGTTGTTATTTTTTAGTAACTTATACTAAAACCCATAAGTCAAATGTACCAGTTTAAACTTAAAATAATTATATGTAAAAATTGATCTTAAAAAGTAAAACATCTTATGTGTATACTGTCATAGTTTCCTGCTCAAACATTTTCATAGCAATCCCAATGAATTGATTTAATCCTGTATTAAAATAAAAATGATTATAACAATAAGAATTATAAATATTAAGAATTTACTGTAAAAAACCACAAAAATCAACAAATGAGATAATAAAGAATAAGTAATCTTATAAAGACAATCTTTACTTTGATGTAATGAAATAACAGAAAAAAACAATGCTACATTAGTTATACTTACAGAGTGAGGACGAACAGGAACCCCTTTTTTTTGTGGACCAAAATTATCATAATTTGTTCTATCTTCTGTAGAGATAATGTCCTGAGATTTATTAATATAATTGTACATGTCTCTGGAGATGTTGTCTCCATTAAATGTTCCACTCTGGTCAACCAGTTCAGATTTATTTTGTGCATCTTTAAACAGAAAAACCAAATGTTAACAAATATTTTTCTACTTTCCTCTATTTATATTTTTATAAATATTTTTATATATAGAAAAAGAGATCTGCATATTTCTTACTCACTTATTTCAATGTAAAACAATAAATTACTTATATGTTGTTAAGTGTAAACATGCACAATGCACTATTTGCACAATTTTTTGCATTATAATAATTCTAGCTTACTTCTGAGCCACTGAAGAATAACAACAATAATTAAAAAACAAAAAAATTAAAGAAGATTTGTAAACAAATAGGTTTTGCAAAGTTAAAAAAAATATATATTAGGTTACTAAATATATTTAAGCACTTGACTTTAAACATTAACTTTTGCACAGAAAACTAAAGTTAACATTTTTCTACAACATTCATAAGCAAAAATTAAAACAAAAAAGAGTCAAAGAGTGTAAAGATTCCATTTTTAAATTTTATGAAATCATAAAACTAGATAATGTAAAGCATCAGTCTCTAAAGCCATCCAAGAAATGTGCTGTTGCTAATGGTAGGGCAAATAGGATTTTAGGTTGTTTCTCCAGAAATATTGAATACAAGTCTAAAGAGGTTACAACTTCATTGTATAGGTCACTGGTTAGGCCACATTTAGAATACTGTGCTCAGTCTTGAGCTCCTTACCTTAGGAAAAACATTGAATTGTTGGAAATGGTTCAGAAAAGGGTTACTAGAATGGTGCATGGGATGAGGGGATTGTCATACGAGGAGAGGCTGAAATGTCTCTCATTCTTTTCTCTTGAAAAAAAGAAGAGTTAAGTAGGATCTGATTGAGGTGTTTAAGATTGTAAAGGGAATTGATAGTGTTAATGCATCATCGTTCTTCATATTTAACAGTGAGAATAGTAGGACTAGGGGACACTAATATAAATTTTGGCAAGATAGAAGTCATCTTCAGCTAAGACAGTTTCTTTTTCTAACAGGGTGGTTGGCCTTTGGAATGGGTTGCCTACAGATGTTGAAGAGGCAGTAAATTCAAGTGAGTTTAAGAAAAAGCTTGATAAGTATATGAATGACAAGGGCTGGCTTTAAGAATTTTTTATTATTATTATTATTGTTTTAATTTAGTTTCGAGGATAGAACAGCCGAGAGGGATCAATAGGTCCCATGTTGTCCCAAAACATTATGTTATATTAAGTAATGGGCATAAGTTTGCAGGAATAAAATACCGTTCATTTGAGGTATAAGGAAAAAATGTTTTAGATGTTCTCTCACTATTGCATTCATCTATGTTGGGTCATTGACTGTCATACAGGTACTATAAGTATGTTGTTTAAAACTCATAACATCAATTAATACATATGGAGAAAAAAGTTAAACATGATTCCTACATACTTAAAACTAGTTTTATTAAGCAACTTTTGGCTACATTGCAGTAACCAGACTTATGATGTTAAAGATTTTTTAATAATGCCTCCTAAGTCTGATGATTGTAATGTAGCTGAAAGATTATTGACAAAAAAGGATTTTAAAAGTGGAGAAATCCTGTACAATTTTTTTTTTACATATTGTAAGTGTCCAGTACTGAAAAATGGAGTGGCTTATGTTGTACAAGTTACAGCATAATTTTACTTTAGTTATATTAACTTTGTAGCACATCACTCACACAACTTTGTTTGTTTGTTTGTTTTGAATTTCGCGCAAAGCTACACGAGGGCTATCTGCGCTAGCCATCCCTAATTTAGCAGTGTAAGACTAGAGGGAAGGCAGCTAGTCATCAC